CATAAGAGGATGCGTGCAAGAAGCCTAGGGGGAACGTGGCACGGGAGCCATCCTGAACGCCACAGACTCTAGGCGGATATTGGCGTTGATGCTGGGCACTGCTGTTGCCGAAGAGAGCATTGAGTCCTTGCAACGCCTTGTCCGCTAGCTCTACGCGTGGATATTGTCTACAGAAGGCCTCATTGAGGGCATCCGTAAAAGCATTTGCGTCCATGGCCAGCAATTCCTTAGCATGCGGCACAGTTGTGCTCCAGACGAGGGAGCTGTGCTTGGCACTCAGTGGCAACAGGGCGACCGGACCGGTGGGCAAAAAACGTTGCCAGGCCACCGAATTATCACAATCATCGTCCATGTTAAGGTCCAGCGTGGCCACCAATCCCATGCGGTCATAGTTGAATGATAGAACATCCACATTCATTTCCTTGCGCACCACAGAGTTGGCACCATCGGCACCAATAAGTAGTTCGCAGGTGAAGCTGCGTCCATCCTGGAGCTTAACTTGGGAGTGGGGTGCGCCCGTCTTACCAGGCAATCCCACACACTCAATGCGCGCCTTGTTCAACACCTTCACATTGTCCAACTCCTTGACACGTGCATAGACCGCATCCAGTATTAAGTCATTCTCAATAATGCAAGCGACATCGCTGGCAAAATTGTCATGCTGGAATTGAATGAGTGCATCGCTGTTCGATTCCCACACTTGCATCTGTTTCACGGGCTTGTATCGCGCCTGCTCAATATGTGCCCAAGCATTGATAGATTTAAAGAGTTCCACAGAGTTTCGGTTGATAGCCGAAACACGATTTTGATAGGGACCCGAGGGGTCAAAGCCCTTGAATGGCGGAGCACCCTCCAGCAGCAATACTTTCTTATCGGCCAGAGTCACATTGTTGACCAGCGCAGCAGCAAGTGTTGTACCAACTAAACCACCTCCGCCAATAATGATATCATAGTGCTCCGTTGCCGGTGTTGTCTCTGGTTTTCGGTTTGCTGTTGTTGTGCTCAACAATCGTTTGGCAATGTTACGTGCCTGGCTGATTGCCGCACTGCCAGCGTTGTTGCGCAATAAAATTAACATTTTACTGCAATTTAACGCGAAAAGCTTATGTTTGAATTTCACAAATTTTATTCGTTGTTATCGTTCGTAATTGCACTGCTAGAGCGGAGAATGCGATTCGTAAATGTAGTCGAAACACTTGGCGTTGCTATCGATATACTAGTCGTGCCAACCATTGTATAGCCAGTGGTATAGCCAAATAGAAGCTAGCTCTAGCGGGAAAAGGCTAGACTGAAAAATATTCATAAGAGAAACAGTGGCAAGCATAATTCATACACTGCTTGCCATATAGCTTGTATATTGACTTAATATCGTAATATATCGTCAGTTATAAATTTAAAATATATTTTGTTTCAGGTGCACCCCAATTGCATGCGAAATGTTTTGAGCTATTAGACGAGATAACCATTGCGCAAAATGGAGACGTATACGAGACTTTGATGCATATTATGTCGGAAACGTTTTATATGCATATTTATCCAGAAAACACGAAGGGTTCTGGTCCAAAAAATGGCGAGCATATTTCAGATTGGTTTATCAAGCTATTGGACAAGTATCCAGATATAGTGTCAAAAGTATTAGAAAACTACATTGAATGCGTGATAACAAATCCTATTAAAGAGGTAAGTTAAACTGCATGTGGCACCAAAGTAAAATATATCATTAACAACCTAATTTATTTTAGTGGAAAGTTGGTGATGAGAAAATTGCGATTGGATATGCGGCCAAATATGATGCAGCTCTCTATGCCAAATGCAACAAATCCTGCACAGATTTGCTACTTCAAGCAATACAAGCAGATGAAGCAGTAGGCCTTCAGTTGAGATCTCTCGAACTGATTGAGCGCATTTTGCAGCAGCAGACACAGGTGGAGTGGCGCATCTTTCGCCACGATGTATCCACTAAACCCCGAGAAGTTGCTCTGATCAGAGAGACAATTCGCTGTCTCGATGACAAAACTTTCAGCGTGCGTCGCAAGGCCAGCCAGGTGCTAGCCTTATCGATTAGGATCGGCTCTCCCATCACAACCCGAATACTCAATGAAGTCATCAATTTTGTTCAATACGATGATCTAGAATCAAGAGCTAAACTGAATTCGCGACAAGCTGAGATCAGTCTCGAAAGGCCCGATAACTTGCATTATGTCTATAGCTTCGAGGGTTTCGAGGAATTGGAAGCGGAGGTTAAGAGAATACCTCGATTGATCTACGATCGCTTTCTTATGTCTAGCAATGGTTTAGCTCGTTGCTCGGGCCTAGCTTTGCTGGAGCGTCTGATTCAAATTAATAACCGAATTTTGTACAATACGCCATTTGAGCGAGAGATATCAGCGCTAGCCACTGACACGCTTTCCTCGGTGCGGAAAACAACACTGGAAACCATAGATTCTCTACTCCAAACCTACAGCAACTGCTCCATACTCGTCGATGTCTATTGTCGGATTTGGTCCTGCATGCTGAATGATGACGATGCTCAACTGCAGAAACTTGCATTGCATGTGAGTGAGGGAAAATCTTATTTCATAATGGAATTACAGTCTTAATCACATTCCATTGCAGAGCTTCAATCGTAATGTCTTGCTGAACATCAAGCCGCTGGAGTATTCAAGTGAATCAAAGCATCTTCTGCCCTGGCACATTGTTACCACATTATTAGCTACTCAGCCTCGTGATTATTTACAGCAGAGATTCAATTTGTTGCTACAGAATGAGAATCTGGTTACGTGAGTAGCATCAATTTAAATGCAACTAAACTCGTATCTATATTCAATTTAATTTTCTAGGCCCACATTGGTAAACACAATTATCTCACACTTAAATACGCCGATGGCGACGGAAGCATGGACACTTCTTCTCCTCATATCCAGTCGCATTACAAACAATTTGGACTCGATTATACCAACGTTTGATCGCCTCTCGTCGTACAATATGAAGTCTAATCAGGTCCTGGCGCTTCAGTTGATCATCTACTGTCTGTCCAACTTTTCGAAAGCATCGCTCAATCAGCTCTTTAAAAGCCTGCTCTCCCTAATGAGCACGGGTAGCATTTGGCTAGAGGTGATCTCACCTGCAATGCTGCTGTTGCATCATATCGACCAACTGTCGCATAGCCAGGCGCCGCAGAATAGCGCTTCCGTTGAGAATTGGCAAACGCAGTTGCTCGAGGATGTGACGGCTGCGACCAAGGAATGCATAGAGAACTTTGAAACGGATCACATACGAATGACCTCGCTGCTGGCTACCTACAGCGAACTGATTGTGATGATACCGAACGAAGCGGATGAGAAAATCGTCGACTTTGTGCTAGGCTATGTGAAATTGTGTATGAGCTTGAACGAATCTAGTTTCGATACGGATAACGAACGTATGATGAACTGGATGGTTGTGATAGCAGGACGGCTCTCCTTGCGAGACAATGATCTAGCATATAAGGTGGCCAAAATGTATGGCCAAATACTGAGCAAAAATGACAGACCCCAATTGATCAACAGCACGCTGATTTGCCTCAACGATCTAGGCAAGAAATATCCCTCAATTCTGGAAAGCAACATGAAATGCATACTGGTCAAATTGTCCTCGAAATATGCGACAACACGCGTCCGCACCTATCGCTGTGTCAAGGACGTCATTCTGGCGGGCAATATTAAATTGAAGGGCGCCATTCTAGTCTCTCTGCTAGCTGGACTCGTCGATGATAGCATCGAGGTGGCACGCGAGGCGGATGCATTTTTTATACGTTATAAGAAACTGTATGACAAGTCGCTGTTTCATCATTGTCTGAAGGAGATTCCCTTCGACTTGAATGATCAAGCGTTTCTAGCCGGATCGGTTCGAATGGAAGCGGGCTTCAAGTCGCCATTGAAGGGACCAAATAAAAGGAAACTCCGACGTCTGCTATATAATCACATTCTCGCCGCATTAGATGAAAATACGCTCTTATTATACTTTGGACAGCTTAAGCTATTAGCTGGTATGCTGGTGGAATCGAACTTCAATCTCAATAGTATTCATTTTTCATTTACAATCTTGCAGAGAAAACAAAGGATGCATCATTTATTGAACTGCCCAATGCCTTGGAAGTTGTCATCGATCTACTCTTTATAATGCGTCGAATATGCTTTTGTACCAAGAGCAAATGGCAACAGGGAGCAGGCCAGGCAGAGGGCGAAGAAGATGACATCCCACAGGAGGAGGAACTGCCTCCATCTGCAATTACATCGGCAGAGCAGTCACCAGCAAGTGATAATGCGGCAGGCAGGGGGCGTGGACGAGGCTTACGAAAACGTGAAATGGCCGAAGAACCGGTGAGTCATTGATCTCTGATCTATAACCAGCTCTGACGCGTTTTTCTCCGCTCTTTAAACAGCTCAAGCAACTCGAGCGCTGTCTGCGCTACGTGGAAGAAATTCATCGCAATTTGAAAAAATATATGAGCTCTGATCTGCATCGGGAGTTTAAAAGTTTCTGCCGTGCCATGACAATGCGCTTTCCCAATTTGACAGACTTTGCACAGCCAGTGCATTTCTGGCTAAAGTATAAAATCAAATCAGGTCCGAGATGCAAGCGACGTCGTCTCAACGAGGAGGGCGACGATGCGAATGACAGTGATTCGACGGAAAGCAACAGCGATACGGACAGTGATCTGCCGCTGGAACGGCACAAGAATGTATCCTCTGCAGCAGACACCGCAAAGGATAAGAGTAGCTATGACGTACTGGCCACTGAGCTGATCTTTCAGCCGCTTGACTGGTAGAGAATACTCTAATATATATAAATGCATATATAACCATCAAAAGTATCTCAAATACGTAATGAATCTATCTGTAAAGTGAATTTATTTTGACCATTATTATTATTTTTTATATATTATATTAAGAATTCGAATTGTATTCTTTAGTTATTTCGTATATTTTGTAAATAAAAGCAACAAATGGTACTATTCTTCAAGCGTCATAGACTTTTATGATGGTCTGCAGTCCGCGCAAGAATTCGTGAAGTATTACTTTGCCCACCTGCACTTCGGTGAGGCCTAGCTCCTCTGCCTCGGCAGCTTGAACTAGGATGCACTCGAGCAGCGCCACATTCACGGGATGCTTGCACACATTCACCTCCTTTGGCAGCGTCAAGGCTGGGCTTGGTATGTGCAGTGATTGCCCCATTGCCGGTTGGGACGGCTGCTTCTTGACAGTAGCAGCAGCAGCCACATTTGGTGGCGGCAATGTGATGATTGTCTCAATATCCAGGTCGGGCAGCTGTAAAATTTGTGACGGTGTAGCTGCAACTGGTGGCGCAGCACCCACTCCAAATTGTTGTCCAGCAAAAGCAGCCGAGCCAGGAGCCGGCTTCAAATGGATGTTGATGCCCGCCTTGGCGGCCGCAGCCGCTGCCTTGGCACTAAGAGCGGCGGCTCGTTCCCGTTTCGCGGCCAGTGCTGTTTTCTTGGGCGGCGTCGCCACCGCCAGTCGCTCCTCAGTATTGCGACAGCCTGCAAGATATTGGATATTGGATATTTATAGACCCATTGATTCAACTGCCAATAGAGCTTACCAATGCACTTGCAGTAGATGGAACAAATGACCATGGACTGATAGCAATCGCAGTAGTTCTTGATGCATTGCGAGCGCTTGCAGCAGCAACCTTTGGGTGCTTGTTGCTTGGGCTGACGCTTCGGGTGCTCTTTGGAGAGGCAAATGCCTGATCTTATCTGAGACATAATTTAATTTCTCAAGCGATTGCTGCTGTCTCTGACAGCGGCTGTCACTGAGGGAAATGCTCTAATGTAGCAGAGAAGGGTATATTAGTTTATTTTTTCTCGATTATATGAAAGTATAAGGTTTAAATTGCTAACGGAACTTAGAACGATAAAAAGATTGTCTCTACGCAAATGAACGTTTACACGAATAAAAGTCGTGATTTGTTTTATATGATAATAAATGTTTTTTAATTCTTTTTCGTTTCGCACTAGTAAATCTATTAAAGCTTAGTTAAAGTAATTACATATGTTTTAATATATTTATACTGTATGTGTAATAAAGATAAAATTTGTTAAGTACCTTTCGTTTAACAAGTGTTAATAAGCTTTTGTTTTTATATTTTTCTTTAACAAATAGTTAATTCTTGCTACATTTTCTATATGTGTATATAAATGTATATAATCTGGCATGGCTGATGATATTGTTTTAGTTTTTATTGTTATTGATGTTAGTAGTACTAATCGAAATCTAAAAAAAATTTAAAATAATTTGGCGCTGCTTTATACGACCAGGCCCTAGTTAGTAGTTACCTAAATATACATATATAATATATACATACATATGTATATAGTTTTATGCTTTTGGCAGATACATAGATAATTGTTCTGGTTGCTATATAGGCATATATAAGTAGTAGAAGACTTGTTAACAGTTAAGAAAGTAATTGAGTGGCAATTGCAATTGATTGCATTTAAAGTAAACGCACACCGAATGGAGGAGGCCGCTCCACGGGGTAAGGCAACACATTGAATCGACGATATGAGTTTGTTCGCGAACTGACTTCGATCACGAATTGCGCACGCATAAACCGTCTGGCTCAACAAATCGTATTATTGAGCAGCTCGTAACAGTTCAGCGCCGCACCCGCTGCCGCCGACGCCGCCTCCTGACGCGTCTTCAAGAAATTACCCACCCAGTGGGCCGTCAGATCCAGATACTTGGTACGCGAACCGGGATTGTAATCAAGGAAGCCGGCACGTGGCACCACCTCCTCAATTTGGCTGCCATCGGGCCAATTGTTGTAGCTAGCTATATTGATGAATCCCACATGGTTCAATATTGCTGTGCGCCAGGCAACGCCATAGTACTGTAAATGGAAATGGCAAATATTTAGCTGTGTCGTATATGGGAGCAATTAAGTGTGTCGAAGTCGTGGCTGCCCGACTAGCAGTCACCCTATCAGCAGTTGCTATTCAGTGATAAACGAATATGTATTTAAGTTATATATCGATATTTATCGATATCTTAAATATCTTATGCTCTTTTGTTGTCATAGAGGCATGATTGATATTTATAAATTTAGGCAAGGCCTATTCCCAGTCCCTCTTAAAGGAAATGATGTACACACCCTGAGGGGCTTCTTGTTGGCATCTTACATGTTAAATGCTAGCATACCCAACCACTTACCCGCCCGTTGCTCCTGTGCCGTTGTATATCCCCGTGACGTGGAAATTTATTGCGCTCCGCAAAGCCCGGACCCACCGTTGGCACGAACAACATTTTATAGGACAGCGCATAGGACTTGAGATATGACCAGTTCTTCCAGGTGCTGGCAAAGACAGCGCCATTGCTTGGCAATTTGCTGTAGAACCCATCGAAACACAAGCGACGCAGCACATCCGCATGACTCTTGAGCCTGAACAACGGAAGACGTTGATTAGAACAAGGAAAGACCTAATACGATGTCAATCCTACCTGATGTGCCCAATGAACAGTGCGTCGAGCACGCGACGTAGTCCGCCCACGTTTTTGGGCACGTTCAGCTGTTCGGCCAGCTCCTGGGCTGTGGGCCGGCACAGCTGACGACCCAGGCTCTCGCTTAGTTTATAAGCATTGCTCACATACAAAACGGGCAACAACGCTGCACGCGATTGACTATACACGCGATAGAAGCCTGGGAGCTCCACATATGCCGCAATCTCCTGCAGCTGCTGGCGCACAAACTCCAACGTCCGATTGCCGGCCACGCTCAGCTCAAAAGTGACGCTGAGATTATGCTGTGGGGCCAGCTCGAGGATTTGATGCAGAAGCGCCGGATCCGAGGGCCGCACAAAGCTCAGTATGATCACGCCAATGCCACAGCTTCGGATGTTCTCGAAATGCTGACCCAGCAGCTTGGCACTCGGCTTATATAGGCCCAAAGCCGGATAGAAGGCGGTGTTCAGGATCTTAACGGGCTTTGGAGTGGTCAGAGGCAGAGCCACCTCATTGGGATGCTCTGGCTGCGGCAGTGGCGGTTTCTTGGACTTGTACCACGGCACCGGAGCCGTGTAAAAAATGTGCACAGCCGTGGCCAGAGCATCGACAGTGGTGCGCGTCTGCTCTGCCTCGTTGTCCCGCTGCTGCTGCTTCACCTGCTGCAGGCGATTCTCCATGATGCGCGCCTTGATCTTATGCTCGTCATACTTCTCCGGCACAATGACGCCATTCTCCCGATGGGGCTGCAGCACGGCCACAGCCTTCTCTCTGGGCTGCTGCAGTTGCTCCGACCGCGGCTGATAGGCGCGCGCTATGAAACGTTCGTCCAGCAAACGCTCAATGCTCGAACCACTTGGCCCCGAACTGCCCAGCAAAATGATGCAGGTGATCACAATGAGCGCCACAATCGTCACCAGCAATAGAATCTTCACCTTGCGACGCGTTTTCACATATTTTTTCAATAACATTTTGATTTACTCGATTTGCTCTTCACATTGTTTGGCCTAACTCTGAGCTTCTTCTTGTTTTTCGTTTTTATACAACCACCGTACGTAATCCAGCCCCGCGCCCGCTCAAGGACCTACCCTTTGGTAACCCTACAACAGCCGGAAACTCAAGATGATTTGCGCATGTCCCAAAACGGACACAAAAAAAATATATAAATGAGCTGGACCAGCAAGCAAAAGGATTGGATTATGTATTTTCTTTATATATTCAATTTTATTACATTTTTCGATTTTTTTTCCGATTCGCTCTGTATGAAATGATTGCAAATTGAATAGATTATAGAGAATCCATAATGTTAAAATAAAACTAATATTCAAAATGTAAAGAAAATAAAACAAAATAATTGTGTAATATTAAATTATTGTTATTATACTTGATAATGAATTGACTTTTATTATTCTACATCAACACTTTGATGGGATTGTATTTTTATTAGTTATAAAGTAAAGTTTATAAAAATTGGTATCTTTTTTTATATGTTAAGTATTTCATATCTCCATGCGCTGTGACTAGCGTCCCTCAACTGGAAAAAAAACATTAGACCTGGTTAAATCAAAGCCAACATTTTAGATCGTTCAAGAACTTACTATATGTAGATAGGTCAATTTCCTCGGGCAGTTCACTAATGTTGACATCGAAACGATCCTGTACTTCGTTAAGTATCTTGGCATCGTTCTCATCGGAGACAAAGGTTATGGCCAGGCCCTTGGTACCAAATCGACCAGCACGAGCCACACGATGCAAATAGGTGTCCGAGTCCTCGGGCATGTCATAGTTAAATACAATATTAACACGCTCAATATCCATGCCGCGGCCAAAAAGATTGGTAGCCACCAGGATGCGTTTCTGGAAGTCCTTGAATTGCTGATACCGATTCAAGCGTTCATCCTGATTCATGCCGCGATGAATGCCAATGGCCGGGAAGTTCTGTTCGGTCAAAAGCTGAGCCAGGGCCACACAACGTTGCACGGACTTGACAAAGATAACGACCTGAAATGCAAAAAAAAAACAATTAATATATCTCATGTAACAGTTAAAGATTACGAAGACAAGGTGCAAAGATATTACTTGATTGAACTCGAGCACATCGAGAAGTTCGAACAGCTTCTTGTTCTTCTCGTTCTCCTTCAGATTGACATAGTGCTGCTGCAGGCCGTGCAGCGTCAGTTTCGCCTCATCGTCGACGTACACTTCCATTGGCTAATAAAATGAAATGGGTTTTGTTTGCATTTTAAGAGAAAAACGATTATGATTGACAAATACGAATTACAACTTAAGAAGCTAAGGTACGCCTACGAATTCTACATACGGCCACGCTAAAACCATCATCATCAACTAGAGTATGTATGTACGGGAATTTAAATGTTGTTGTGGTTGTTCTTTGCTGCGGCCACGGCTGCGCATCTGTAGCGTCTATCATCACCTCAAAATGTTGTGCGACAGGATAGCTAGCGCTCCATGTGGACATCAGTCGTATCAGTAGATGAATCGGAAACATTATCCGTTTTGACTTTTTGATTGACAGTGGTAGTGTTCTTTTTTTTTAATTCGTATAGGATTTTGATATGTTGGTTGCGTTGCGATTTGAAGTATGCGTTTATTGTTATATTTTAATACTGGTTGGCATTGGCGTTAGAGGTTCCCGCGTTTAACCATTTGAAAAATGGGTTTCTGGCAGTTATGGGCAAAAATTTTATATCTTTTATACGCATTTAGCGCGTTTCCGATTGAAGTTAACGCGTTTAACCATTTAGAAAATGGTTTTCGATAGTTATGGATAAGGATTTATCAGGTATGTTATACGCTTGTAGCGCGTGCTCGTTTTAAATTTACGCGTTTAACCATTTAGAAAATGGTGTTTAGAAATTATGAGCAAGATATCGGTAACATTGAATCAATTCAGGATTCTTGTTTAAAATTAACGCGTTTGAACCAGTTCAAATAAGTTTGTCTGGTTTTAGGTATAAGGCAAAAAGTGTGACGATTGTTTTTTGGTAGTTTTTAGGTTGATTTGAGTGGCGTGCGTGTTTTCGCAATATATTATAGCTAGTGGTCGTAATAGTAGTAGTAGTAGTGCGACGTAGATATTTACATCTTGCATAAACTTTTTGCAAACGGGGCGAATCTCTTTGCTCAAAGTGGCGGAAAACATCATAACTTGTTTGCCGTGTGGTGTGCTTCGGAAAATCTCCTGCACATCACGACGCATATCTGTTAGAAGCAAATAGAATCAGAGTGTTAGCAATATAGGCATATATTTAATATTATTGTTAAGATTTACCCAGTTGCTCTAACATCTTGTCACACTCGTCCAGAACAAAGTGCTTCAAGTGTTTCAGGTTCAACTTCTTATTACGAATGAGTGCCAAAATGCGACCTGGTGTACCAACAACAATATGGGGTGTGCCATTCTTCAGAGTTTCCTCATCCTTTTGAATCGCTAGACCGCCAAAGAATACAGCAACCTATCGAAAAACAAACTAAACTGAAACAAGTCTTATGAATAAATTGTAGCATAAGCTAACTTACCTTAACTGTGGGCATATATTTGGAGAAACGTTCGTACTCCTTGCTTATTTGGAATGCCAGCTCGCGTGTGTGACACATGACCAAAACATGGCAGGTGTTGTTATCAGACGGTTCCAACTGCTGCAATGTGGCAAGCACGAAAACTGCCGTCTTACCCATACCGGACTTGGCCTGGCATAAAATATCCATGCCAAGCACAGCTTGCGGTATACACTCATGCTGAACTGCAAATGTAATAAAAACATGAACAACTGCTCACACGCACAACTGTACGCTTTACTTACCTTCTGATGGATGCTCGAAACCGCAATCAACAATTGCACGCAAAATCTCTGGCTTTAGCAAGAAGTCACGAAAACCGGAGCTGTGAATGGATACATAAGTACCCTTAACATCTTTCTTTGGTGCCTCCTGGTTCTCAACAGCAGTGGTCTCGTTCTGCTCTTCATCCTCGTAGTCGAGAAGATCGTCATTATCAGCCATTTTTGTTTTTTGTTTTTTTTTTCTTAACTCGTATGTGCGTATATGCCTAGCAAGAACTCTTTTACGATTCTGTAAGAAAAAATGGCTTTTGTAAATGAACTACTTCTGTATGTGTAGTTGTAAATGCCGCGTTTTTGTATGCCAAACCGGCATATGCTCGCCGCCATCTTGTTTTTCGGTATACTGAATCACACAGCGAAGGCTTGCAACATTTTGCGAAATATATTTTGTCTTAAGTTTGCTATTTTTGGGCACACTGATCAAAATATTTTACCTCTTGTACGTTTTTATTATGTATTTACTCTTCTTTTTTTTGCAAAAGTAATAAATATTCCTTAGCTAGATTGAAAAAGTTTTACTGACATTGAACGTGACGTCGATAATGCAAGGAACCGTTTTTGCTATTGTAATCGATATATGTAGCTTTTCGATAGACGTGAAAGTCATATATTCGATATATCAACATCAAAGTTTCAGAAAAATGTAGTACAATTTAAATCAACAACTAAAAAAAATATTTTTAAAGATTATGGTTGCATTGGATGTACAAATGACAACGACTTGAACAATATCACGGCTTAAATTAAAATCAGAGTTGCATTGAGCATTCACGATAACTACAATTGATGCAATGAAATATCGATAGTGCCAGCGTCAGTCTACTCAACAGAAATTTCACGTCGGCCGCGTTTTCTAAGAGCGATATAAAATTTTTTTTGCCGTTTACTTGTGCATCACATAAATAAATTACAATAACCATGTAAGTCTACTTATTGTTTAAAGTGTGCAGTTATATGAAAACGCAAACACATCGAGTGAAGAGTGCAATTTAGTTTCAATGCTCGAGATTCCCTCTCAAAGTTTCCAATGCGCTTGCCCCCTGCAGCTGCAACAAAATGCCGCTGTAAAAGGGCAAATTGTGAATTAAAAACGCCATATTGTGCAATTCCATGCTATTAATTGTATGTGCCGCAGCTAAGAGAATTTTTAGGTTGAGTGCTTGTGTTTGTATATAACATATATAACAAGCCTTTTGCCGCCGCACCCGCGTATTTTTCCCCACGCCCATAAACAAAACGCCGCAAAAGTCACTCAATTGGTTTTTTTTTTTCGTTCGTTCGCTTTAGTACAGTCGCTTGAGTGAAAATTTTGTGTTACGCTCAAAGAGCGATGAGAGCAGAGGAACTCGTTTCGCTTTCATTGCGCTCTTTCATGCTTTTTACTCGTGTTTGAAGAGTTTTTATATTTCTTTTGATATTTCTGTTTCTGTTTCTGTTTGGAATTTTATCAGCCTAAAGCAAGTGATTGCGCGCAAAAATAATTCGAGCTAAAAGCATAAGCATAATAAGGTCAGTTTAAAGTCTGCTTTAGAATTCCAATTATTTGCATATTTATTTATTAATATACCATATCGTTTTTTTTTTGTCAGTAGCAAGTGAACGTTAACAATGTCGTCTAAAACTCGACGCGCTGGCACCGCGACGCCGCAGCCCGGCAGCACTTCGACCCCTCGGCCTCCATCATCTGGGCCACAGCAACAGACATCGGCGTCGTCGTCGCAGTCGCAGTCGCAGCCGCAGCAGGCGAGCAGCCCCACGCGCCATTCGCGCCTCGTGGAGAAGGTCGAGCTGCAGAATTTGAACGATCGTTTGGCCTGCTATATTGATCGCGTACGCAGCTTGGAGACGGAGAACTCGCGCCTCACAATTGAGGTGCAGACCACACGTGACACCGTGACCAGAGAGACGAACAACATTAAGAATATCTATGAGACGGAACTGCTAGAGGCACGTCGCATGCTCGATGAGCTGGCACGAGAACGTGCTCGTTTAGAGATTGATACCAAGAGGCTGTGGGAGGAGAACGAAGAGTTGACCGCACGTCTAGACAAGAAGACGAAGGAATGCAACACTGCTGAGGGTGAGTTTACATCATTAACAATAATCAACCCTCCATTGATTGGCTGATTGTTATTTTAGCTAATGCCCGAATGAATGAGTCGCGTGCCAGTGAGCTGAGTAATAAATATAACCAGGCCAATGCCGATCGGAAGAAAGCCGTTGATGAACTGAATGAAGCTCTCAAGGAACTGGACCGTCAACGCAAGCAGCTTGAGGACTCGCGCAAAAGTCTTGAACAGGAGACTCTAGCGCGTGTGGATCTGGAGAACAATATACAAAGTTTGCGTGAAGAGCTGTCGCTTAAGGATCAAGTGCACGTTCAGGAGATTAACGAGTCGCGTCGTATACGCCAAACTGAATATAGTGAAATCGATGGCCGTCTCTCGTCCGAGTATGAGGCGAAGTTGCAGCAATCGCTACAAGAGCTGCGCAACCAGTATGAGGATCAAATGCGCTGCAATCGCGATGATATCGAGGCCTTGTATGAAGCCAAGATACGATCATTACAAGAAGCAGCGGCTCGCACGCACAGCTCAACGCACAAGTCAATTGAGGAGCTGCGCAATTCGCGCATTCGTATCGATGGACTCAATGCCAAGCTCAACGATATGGAGACGGCCAATGCCATGTTGAACACGCGCATACGGGAGCTGGAACAGCAGCTGGACCATGAACGCGAACGCCATGCAAATGACATTGCAATGTACGATAAGGAATTGAATCGTTTGCGCGAGGAGATGGCACAACAACTGCAGGAGTATCAGGATTTAATGGACATTAAGGTAGATATATATACAATTCAAACAGCTCTCTTGACTAATAAAAATTTTGCTTTATTCTAGGTTTCCTTGGACTTGGAAATCGCCGCCTACGACAAGCTGCTCGTGGGGGAGGAGGCACGTTTGAATATAACGCCAGCGAATTCGGCTACGGTGCAATCGTTCAGTCAATCGTTGCGTAGCTCTCGTGCCACGCCCTCACGGCGCACACCGTCGGGCGGCTTGAAGCGCAAACGTGCCGCTGTTGAGGAGTCCGAGGATCATAGCGTATCCGATTTTTATGTATCGGCCAGCGCCAAGGGCAATGTGGAAATCAAAGAGATCGACGCCGATGGCAAATATGTTAAGCTGTATAACAAGGGCAACGAAGAGGTCTCCATTGGCGGCTGGCAGCTGCAGCGATCGCTTAACGATAATGGACCAGTGACAACCTACAAGTTCCATCGTTCCGTGAAAATCGAGCCAAATGGCACAGTGACCGTTTGGTCGTCGGATTCGCGGGCCACGCACGAGCCGCCATCGAACATAGTGATGAAGCAACAAAAGTGGATGACTGGCGATAATACCAAGATGGCTCTATTGAATAGCGAAGGCGAAACGGTTGCCAATATGGAACGCAACAAGCGTGTTGTCTCCACACATACGTCATCCTCGCGACTCAGTCGCCGTCGCAGCATTAGCGCCGTTGATGGCAACGAGCAGCTGTACCATCAGCAGGGCGATCCCCTGCAGACGAACGAGAAGTGCGCGATTATGTAATAGCCAGCCAACCATAAAGATAATAATATATACACACACATGGAGACACAGGCAGACAAGCACACACAAACAGACAAACCAACAAGCAAACAGAAACAGACAAAAACAAAAAACAGACGGAATTATAAATTATCAGCTAAGTTATTAATTTTTCTGTGGCTACCCTAAGTAGAAAGAGTGAAGAAAAAGGCGAGCGCAACAAGAGCCAGGCAGCACCACTAATAATTTAATTCAATTGTAAAACTTGCAGTTCCATTTCTATTTAAATGTCTACGATTCTTCCACATGTTCAATATATTATTTAGTTTCTGTGCTTTAATCCCAACACTACCACATTAATTCTTTCCCTAACGGTTACTAATCCCCTTTGTGTTTATCTAAATGACAAATATTTAATTTACGTTACATGTTTCGGATATAAAAAAGAACAAATTCCAACCAAACCCACCCCACCTTCGTACAATCTTAATTTTAAACAATAAGCATTATTTTTGTGAACTTTATTTGGTATATTTTAAATTCTCATTTCTGTATGCCACATAGAATTTACAAAGAAGAAGAAATTAAGAAATTTTCAACTCTTATTTTTGTATTTGTGCATTCAAGTGCTTTGTGAATGCTGAGTTGACAGCATTTTCGATGCATTTGTATGAGTCACGGCTCCAGCATATAAATATAAATAAATATACATACATATAAATATATATATATAGTTTTTTAAGCAGAATTAAAAACAAACAAAAACGACAAGCTCATGTTAAAAGTAATTCAACGAAATATCAATAAAACTCGGTAAATTTACAAACTGTAACTACAAATTTGAGCTTCCCTTTCCCTTTCCTCCCCAGCATACACATACATACCCTATGTGTGTATCTTATGTTAAGCAACTTTTTGTATTGAGAAATATAATTCTAAAAAAAAAAAAATTAAGGAGAAAAAAGAACACAAAAATAGCTGTGCGAGAAAAGAGCCTAGCAATATATTTTTAAAACGAGTTGGAATTTGATTGGTGCGCTCTCGTAGGTGCTCAATAGAATGTTTCTTTTTATCATAGATTTTCGGCTGAACCGGTTTTTCCTGCAACAAGAAAAAATCAGCTCAATGTGGGTGTGTCCATGTCAAACTACATATTCTAAAGAAGAGAAATGAAAAGAACACTAAAATTTAAATTTTAAACTTAAGACTACATGTAACTGCTAAATAAAAAATTATGTTTCATAGAACTGTGTTTTGCACTCATAGCGAATAATTTCAAGCTGTTGCTGAAAACTAATCAGCCCTGTTGTAGGGCATATTTTCTAATATTTCTCACCGCTCATTCTATGTTGAGTTATTTTTAGGCATTCGTATGTATGCATGGCATTGTAAAACGCACTCAATTATGCGAACAGTCTGGCAGCACCAGTCAGTTAAGCCACTCAAAATGAACGACTCTCCCGCTCACAAATTCACACTCACTTTGACAGCAGCAAGTTCATTCAACTGTTGTTGCTGCGTATTAAACGCTATCTTTTTGGAGTATTTTTGTCTCTTTTCTTTTAGTTGGCAATTGTGGTTGCTGCTACAGTGACGCTGCAGTTGATAGCCGCGGATCACTGCGTTGCACCCCTTGGAGTTTTTTTTTTTTTTTTACTTGATAACGCCTTTTGTAAACTAAAGGTTATGTTGTTTGAATTGCAGCTAAGCGATTTCTCTTTAGCACTAAGAACGCGTTCCACACAATATGTGTATTGTATATAAATTGACAGCCAAATTGAAGCGGCGCCCACAGCTTGTATGCCAGTCTCGTCGGCGATTCATACGCTTCACACCTGACCAGAGCTGAGCGCTATCGTTCCGATTGCAAGTGCACGACATTATTATTTATTATTTAATACAACGTTAAATTTTTGTTTTAAAAAGTGATATACGCTAACACTGTGCAGGTGAGTGGAGGTGAGCAGCTTGTCGACCCTCAAGTGTCCCCATTGGAATTCAAGTGCGATTGTCTCTGTCTCGCTCGCTCTTTAGAAGTTAAGAGCGAAAGTGTTTGACTACAGTGAGCGCTCGATTGGTTAAATTATCGCTTGTGGGCGTATTTAATCTGTGCTTAAATAAGAGTAACTTGCAGTGAAAAATAACGGAAAAGAAAAACTTTGTCAAAAGCTAAAGTAAAAGCGTATAGTTCTTAAATTACGTCAGCTTTAGCACGAAATCACTTAATTTCAAGTGTCAAAAATTAAATACATATACATACATATATATTCGTGAATAAAATAATTAAACGACTGTTCATCTTGTTGAATGTACACTATAATTTGAATTTATGGGTAGCATATTAAGTACCGCTATCACTAATATGTAGGATAGATCTAATCAGACCTTATCAAAATGCTCCATAATGCCCCACACAAACAATAAGTTTACTTAGTGTACATTTCACATTTTCAGTACTAAATAGTAAGAATGCGGTTAATTATCCTGGAGACGAGCAAATCGGTGGGCAGTTGGGCAGCCAAATATGTGGCTAAGCGGATCAATGACTTCAATCCGGGACCCGATAAGTAAGTGGAGACGTCTTATCAATAGATCTTATCTTATTAACATCTCTCTTTATCTCTCCCACTTTAGATACTTTGTTTTGGGCTTGCCCACAGGTAGCACCCCACTGGGCATGTACAAAGAACTGATTGAGTTCCATAAGCAGGGCAAGGTCTCGTTTCGTTATGTGAAAACCTTCAATATGGATGAGTATGTGGGTGAGTGGCTGCGATTCTCACCTATCCTATACTTAGGTGTATACCTAAAGCCAAAAGTACTTTTTAGGCCTGCCGCGTGATCATCCCGAGAGCTATCACTATTTCATGTGGCACAATTTCTTCAAGCACATTGACATTGAGCCAGCGAATGTGCACATTCTGGATGGCAATGCGAAGGATTTAGTCGCAGAGTGCAATTTGTTTGAACAGCAGATTAAGGAAGCGGGCGGTGTGGAGCTGTTCATTGGCGGCATTGGACCCGATGGACACATTGCCTTCAATGAGCCGGGCTCCTCGTTGGTGTCGCGCACGCGTGTCAAGACCCTGGCGCAGGATACGCTGGAGGCGAACGCCCGTTTCTTTGACAATGACATGAGCAAAGTGCCCAAGCAGGCGTTGACTGTGGGCGTGGGCACGGTGATGGACTCGAAAGAGGTGATGATCCTGATAACGGGCGCCCACAAAGCATTCGCCTTGTATAAGGCCATCGAGGAGGGCGTCAATCACATGTGGACGGTCAGCGCCTTCCAGCAGCATGCGAACACCTTGATGATCTGCGATGAGGATGCCACGCTGGAGCTGCGTGTCAAGACGGTTAAATATTTCAAGGTATGCGCGGCGCAGGTGCAATTGTAGTGATAATGGATAAGGCGTGTCAAGGTGTTGGTTTTGTTTAGACTCAGGTCAATTGGTGCATGTTAACCACGTAGTTGCTTTTGCTTCTCCTTAATACCGGGTTTGCTTAGTTTTATGACTCCGGAACGTAGATTCCGCTAATATCTGGTTGGCATTTGTTTTCTCACCACTTCACAGGGCATTCTCAGAGATGCAAATGCAGCCGACTCCCCGGAAGCTTACACAAAATGTAAAGTATAGTCAAAATTGCTTGTGCCCTAATGATATTATAATGTTAATGTATTTGATAATAAATGAAAGATTCAAGAGACTAGCGATTACCAAAGCAATTATGTATACTTGTGTCTAGTATCATTTATTATATATATAACGAATGTAGTTAATTTAAGTTATGTGCTAAGAAGGAATAGAAATTATTATTTTTTAAATAAACTGAAATTAAAAACTGTAGGTATAAAAGCAATAAGAAATGCTTGAGAAATGTAATTGTTAGTTTATATATATATAATATTAAGAAAGTTTATTAAAATAATAGTAGATGAACCGGAATTATAAATAAGCCACTAAATTTCTGATCTAGAATTTAAAAGTCACTTCCAGGAACTTTTGTGGCGTTAAGACAAATTCATTTTATATATTCAGTAAGGTACTCAGATATTGATATTTTGGGGAATTATTATAGGATAACTTAAATGTAACTATTGAAGATTTAAGTACATTTATTTTAAAACTGAAATATTTTTAAGGCTAAATATTGTTAATAATGAATGATAAGTGTATAAAAGTTCGCTTCAGTATATCTATTCATATTTTCATATAAATTTTGAGCCAAACCTATATTTTAAAATTTTGTTAGGTCTATTTGTAAGTAAAGTGAAAAAATATATTATATTTATTTATACAAAAACGTAGTTAGATTATAAGGTAATTAATATATTTATTTGAGAGTTTTTGATAATCTTTGCTACGAAGTCAAGATATACTTAATGTCATTGTTGATAAATGTCAGATATATTCAACAGACTTATACAATTAGGAATGACAATTGCACCCTTTATAAAATGATTTATTTTGATCTATGTATATTAAATATTTGTAATTTTCTTTTACAGAGCCTAATGGACGTACACTCGCAGCTGATAGAACAGCGGAAGACGGAAACCTAGCCAAGGAGCAGCTCATTCAACTACCAATCTATCAACAGAATTACAACAAATCAAATTTGTTTTACGTTTCTTATGCATTTTATTTGTTCTATTTACTATTTACGCTACTGCTTATAATAAAAGACATTGTCTATATATTTTTATACAATATTAAAAAGAACTATACTCAACAACAACGGCGGCCCAGGATCTGTTTGTCCGTGTAGACGAACTCCTCGTGATCCTCGATCAGGCGAAACAGCTGCTTGGCATAGTAAATGGAGCGCACGGACTCCTCCAGTATGAGCTGATGATTCTGGCCAGCGCGACGCACTTGCTCGTGCAGGAACATGGCCTCCAGGCGCTTGGCACGCTGCGTCAGCTGGCAGGCCTCACTGATGCGCATGCGCTGTTGCCCCTCGTTCAGCCGGCGCTGGACCGTGGGCTGATGACGTGCAGCATTCTGGTGGTACCGGCAGATGTCGCTGATGACTGTCGCGTTCACGTTGTAGATGCCCTCGGTGGCATTGATGATCGTCTGGCAAATGGCCGATGTACCGCTCATCTCACGCTTCACGTTCTCACGGATCAGCTGCTGGAGAACGATGTGCCGGGCCGCCTTCAAGTAGCCGCGTCGTATGTGCCGTCTGCCGATCTTCGAGCGCATCGGCTTGAAGTTGAACACCTGTGTGCCCCACACCTGGCCACGCACGCTGCTCGTCGCCTTGCGCTTGCGCTGCGTCTCACGGAACAGCTGCCGCTTGACACGCTGGAGGCAGGCATTGCGCGCACTCAAGCGCTCCGGCTGCAGGCACATATTCACCTGATGCCACAGCTCCTGCTTAGTACAGAGCAAGGTGTTGGGCGCCCAGTTGAGCTTGTGCACCAGTCCATTGATGATGTACAGCTGGCGGATGCACTCGTTGAGGAAGCTGCGCTTGGTCGGGCTCTGATAGTTGGGATGATTGCTGATTATGTAATGATCCCGCTTATAGACCACACAATACCCACTCTCGCCCTCCAGCATCCCTGAACACTGATACACAATCAGCTGCTGATCCGTGTAGTCAATGGGCGAATTGAAGATGAAAAGCTGATTCTCACCCGCCACCGGAGTGCGAAACATCATTAATTGTGTCGTCGTCTTGCGGTCCATGGCCAACAGGAGTCGTGAAGCGAATGCTGTGGTTCGGCAAGTGTTAAGCACTTTATATATTTAGCAGGTAGCATTTACCGTCCAATGGGTAATGTCCACAGCTCAGGAGATCTTGCGTGTCTCAACTTGTTGTTCAGGTATACGCAATAGAGTTTAGGTAAAGTTTAGTTTTAGTTTACAGTTGTACAGCTCAAGTTATGGTGGAAATTTACCTAGCTTGTGTAGGTTAGGTAAAAACACTGAAGATTTGGGTTATATTTTGTAAAATATCAGAACTATGTTGCTTTATATAATTGTCAATAGGTAGATTATTCAAATTGTAGCACGTGCGCTTGACTTAAGCGGCCTGTTAGAAAAATCATTGAGGTTATGTTGGTATACATTGGTTTGGGTTTGACTTTTGGGAAAAATTTGCTTTCCATCAAAACATTAATAGTTGTTTGTTGCCGACTAATACTGAGCTCACAGCTCATTTGTATTGTTTATTATACATATAGTATTTATTATTTTGTATAAAATCAGATCTGTAATTCTCCTGTTTCAGATATTATGGACATTCATGAACTTCGATTCTCAAACAATTTTCTTTAAGGAGAAGCTCCTAATTAAAAATTAACTATTGCTGTCTCACACAGTTTAATACGAATATAATTTGCTTGAAAACCCTATCGACTCAGCAGGCATACGTGTTAGTCTAAACAATCTTTGTTTCCAGCACTCTGCAGTTAATATTCATATTCATATAATTACATACATATAAATACATACAATACAGAGAAAAGAGTTTGGCAATTACCTAGCAGCAGTATGGAAAAATCTTTATAGAGTTATGCTTAGGAATATACCTTATTAGCTATAAAATAGACCTGGTCTATAAGAATCTGAGTTATTCGCATATTTCGGGTATTTTCGCGCTAATCCCTGACCAGGTGTTGTCTAATGTCGTGACCGCAGACCTAGGTAGCTCGCGTCTACCCATTGTACCTGCTTACGCTTGTAATCCTTTTTGCAGCCCATATCGTATAAATATATATTTGATATAAATCGGGTTTGACAGGTTTGCAGCTGTCAGTGGCGTTTGAGCTGGCGAAGCACGAAGATCATCTCAGAAGATAGCGCGCAGCATGGGCAATGTACTGGAAACGAAAATGTCCTGCGAGAGGCCGGTGGCTGTGGTCCAGCCCATGCCAGCGGAGGAGCCGGCGTCTCGAAGGGAGGAGGCGGAGGCGTGTCCCAAGGCGAATGTCACCCTGCAGTTGTTTCACTATCGCCAGCAAATGGCGCTCAAGGATCAACAGGTGGTCAAGTGGGCCACATCGAAGCTGCTGCTCACCGAGGAGCTGCTCAAGCAACCGGATCTGCCGCAGCAGCAGCAGCAACAAAAACAACAACAACAACACAAAAAGCAACTCGACATGCCAGACCTGAGCATCGACGAGGACAACGATGCTGCGTGGGCGGAACGCCAATTGGCCATGTTAACGGACGACGAGGATGATGTCGATAACGCTGAGAATCTGTCGCCCATAGACGAGGGATTGGGCAACGAGCTGAACCATCTCATCAATTACAGACTAAAGCTGCGCAACACCATCGTCGAGGTGGCCCAGGAGAAGATGCGCAAGCGTGAGAAGACGAAGCTGAAGCGTTTGAAACGCCGCACACTCATCTCCTCGAAGAAGCCCAGCAACAAGGACAAGCATCGGCGCTCATATTAGGAGTTAGAATTGCATTCGTTGTATATATGTTTACATAGAGTTTTAGTTAATATTAGCAATATTTATATATGTTTAGGTGCCCCAGTAAAACGACAAATTAAGCTTTAAACTTAAAGTCAAATTATTTGCTTTTTTCTTCCAATTCGTTTTTGACCCTGTCCAAAGTCGGCTAGCTGCAAAGTTCAATGCGCTGTCCTGTCCCAGGACTCGACCGCGTAACCCTTATTGCATAATTAAAAGCCTCAATTGGCGACCGTCAATACTAATTGGCGACTGGCGATTGGGCTCATTGCGATGCACTGGACAGTTTGCAGCTTCCACTTTGATGAGATCAAGGACCTTTGATGCCTGATTGACTTACATTTTGTTTGTGCGTAATTTGGTTTTATCTGCTGGACAATGAGTGCTAGAAAGAGGCAGAGCAGTAGACACAAAAGTGGGCTAAAACATGCGGGTGGGAGGACGTTTATTTATACAATAATAATAATTAATTATTGATAATTAAATTTTTAACTTTGGGTGAATTAAAGATTCGACATTTAATAAATAATTTTAGTCATAAAAAATTCAGTCAAAAATCAAACAATAATAAAATAAATTGAGTTTCTAACAAATTATATAATAATTGTGTTTAAGTAGAAAATAAATCCGTAAATTGATTAAAGATCCCATAAAAATAAATAAATAAATTGAAAGGAAAAAGTTACAAAATAATTCAATTAAAACAAAAATATGAGAAGGTCGTTAAAATATATTTAAAACATTAAATTATAAAAAGAAAATAATTTTAAGAAAAATATAATAATAGCTAAAAATACTAAAAGTAAAATAAATTTATGTATAATATAATTTTATATTATATATATATTTTATAAATTTATATAATAAATAATTTATAAATACAATTTTTTATCATATTAATTTAACTAGATGGCTCTAAGAATTAAATAAAATATATTAGAATTACTATTATATGCATAGATATATGCATGCATATAAAAAACTGTTATTTAATTAATTAAATATTAATTATATTAATTTGTATATATTAATAATAATTAGTTACATATAAAATTTAATGATATGAATATATTAATAAAAATATACTGTACACATGCATTCATATGTAATTTCTATAAATCTTTTGGAATTTATGAGCAGTGCAAAGTTTCCGGTAGGCATGCAACCGAAATTAGTCACAGTTCGAGCCATTTATAAATTGGCTTCTGAGCAACAGGAAATGAGAAACCACCACTGCAATTCAGGAAGTCGCAGCTCTTAAGGGTAGCTTCATAGAAAACTGAGCTAACGTTTAAATATGAGCAATTAATAAAAATAATAAAAAAGAATAAAATGTGTTTCATCAGAAATTATGAAAAAAATTTAATTAAAGCTAAATACTTGGCGCTTCCGCATGCACAACAATTAAAACACACAAACACACACACACACATATATGCATCTTTGGGGTGTGTGCGTGTGTGTGGTCCAGTCCAAACCAGAGAAGTCACTAAACATTGCCACCCTCTGGAATTTGCCATATCTTTTGTTGTGGTTGTTGTGATACCCTGAACCCATTGAAAATAACAAACTAGGGTAGCATGGACTTCAAAGAGGGTTTGTTACAAAATGGGAAAGATTATCAAGAGACTTGATAAAGCAGATTATTATCATAGGATATAAATGTAGCATATATGGCTATACATCATCTTAACTAAGTCTCATTGACTGAATCTGAATCTGATCTCAAGAACTATAAGAACTAGGCACATGAAATCGAATGAGTAGCTGCACATGAAACATATTCATTTGATAAATATTTCTTTTTTCCTATATCATTCCAGAGCTGTGTAGAATATTTGGTGGCTAGTATATGTATAAAGTATACGTGGGGGATACTTAAGCAAGCATTTTGGCAACTTGGGACTCATATCCATGGCAGAGTAGCTTCCAGTTCGTCACACCCTACTTGTTGCTATTGTTGCCTTGATAGCTGCTCTGGACGCCACGTAGCCAGTGAGGCATTGTTTTTGGCCTGGATGGCACTCATAACGCGGGCGTGAGGCGAGGATTGCTGCGAACATGTCACCATTTCATTTGCTGCTCCAAGGAATTCCAAATTGCCAAGGGGCGAGTGGAGGGGCGCGGACTAGAGACTCGCTTGCCATTTGAGCGACCCGCTCGAGAGCTTGTTATGCAAGTTGAAAGGGAATTTGTGTCAGGCTCTGCTGCTCGCTCGCTGGCGTCTGTCTGCGTATGCAGCTGGAGTGCGTGAGCCGCTGAAGGGCTGCAGTGGGCCACCCAGCAGGCTGGGGCGGGAGCATAGCTTACCAGTTGCATAATTATGATTAAATTATTATATTAAAAGCATTGCATGTCAAATATGCAATGCATGCGTTAATTGCTGCGTCAGTTTCTAATTGCATGCACACGTTAGTGGGGCAAGTTCAAAGGATCCATTTGGGAGCATATGCTCAATGGGCGACACATGTGGACATTTGAATCAAATACTTCGGATTCCATTCAGTTAACTGACACGCTTTGCTTGACGTTTATTAGAGTATTTAGCAAACAATTAACATCTATTTTTGTATTATTTGTTCAAGAACTTACAAGACTACAAATTGGGATTAATCCTCAATTATTGTCGATTTTACTAGCCGGGATCACTATGCAGCATTGCTTTTATAAATATATATTGATATAATTTAAACAGAACAAACAACATTTAAATAGGATTCATATCGATTGCTTTAAAATGATCAACATCTATGCATATCCCAACAGATTTTTGTTTCGATAAACAACTCATTAAGAACTTCAAATCGTTAGCAGCTTCTCATACATTGACAGATCGAAGCAAGCTTTGAAAATGACGTCCTGAGCATATGTTGATACAGCTGGGCTGCTTCAGTGAACAGAATAGGCTGTGCTCATTCCTCACAGAGAGCAGCGAGTGTAGAGATTGTAAAAGTCTCATTTAGTTTTTGAGTCTCACAAAATTAACTCGTTTTTCTTTGTTCTGTTTTCTTCTGAATTTATATCTATATACATATATATCAAAAGTATATATTCGAAAAAATCCAAATTACGAAGAAAAAAACAATAGCACACGCCAACGTTAGTTATTTTCCGATATATACGTCTATGTATATATATAGGCCCCATTCTGTACGTACGTGCGTGTGAGTGTGTGTGTATGTGAGCGTGTATATTCGTGTTCATTCGAAATCGAGACCAGCCTTTGTGCGGACAATTTAGCTGTAGCAATCCAATCGGGAGTCGTCGTCGCCATCAGAGCAGCCAAGATGAGCAGCCAGGAGAAGGACAAGAGCATCGTTTGCCACAAGTGCAACGAGACAATCACCAAGCGCGTGATCACCGCATTGGGCAAGACATGGCATCCGGAGCATTTCCTGTGCCGTCACTGCGACAAGCAGATCGAGGACGCCACATTCAATATTCAGGATGGTGAGCCCGTGTGCAGCGATTGCTTTGTCGAGCGCTATACGAGCACTTGTGCCGCCTGCAAGAAGCCCATCCTGGAGCGAACCATATGCGCGATGGGCGAGAATTGGCACGAGTGCTGCTTTGTGTGCGACGGCGCTTGCAAGAAACCGTTATCGAATCGTCCCTTCTACGAGCGCGACGGCAAGGCCTACTGCAAGCAGGACTACGAGGACATGTTTGCGGTGCGCTGCGCCAAATGCGAGAAGCCGATCACAGACAGCGCCATCGTAGCCATGAATGCCAAATGGCATCGTGATTGCTTCTGCTGCAATCGCTGCGAGAACCCAATCACCTCACAGACCTTCACCATCGAGGGGGACAAGCCCGTTTGCCCCGCCTGCACCTGCTAGGATGGTAGCGCCATGCCACAGACACGGACATTCCATAGAGGATATATCGTACAGTACCCTGGACCATATCGGAATTGAATAACCAACTCAGCAACCACACAATCTAAAACTATCAACCCCTATCTACTTCTTAAAATTACATAGGCAAAAACGAAAGACAACAAAAAAATCAAATCGGAACAAAAAATTCACAAAATAGACCAGACAAAAAAAAAAAAAAAACAAAATATACGGACGAAAATTATGCAATTTTGATTATTACCAATTTATTCTCGCATTTATAGTTTTAAGCGTTAGTGCATCCATCCATCGACTATTAGAATTATAAATGTTACTTGAATCGAAACCGCAGGACACAACCGAGAAAAAATTCACCATGGACAAAATTATAAAAAAAAATTAAACCAAAATTGTAAATAAATTGATATCCATAAAAAAAAACAAACATATATGTATTTTACTTTAGTATGAACAAGTGAGAGCGTTGCAGACAGTTGTCCATTTTTCTTTTTGCCACGCCCCCAATTGATGTATGAATCTTTGTGCAAGTTAATGGAGGATGTCAAAAAGGATTAAGATATATAGTTATCCCGATGTGCACCATCCTCAGAGGGCGTGGATATTCATGCCATATCTTGATTTAAAGGATATAGGAGTTTTTATAAATCAGTATAGAAAGGTTTCGGATCACCACGCCCATGGGGGCGCAGGTATGCCATAGCTTGTTAAGCTTTTGTGGAAAATATAGCTGTATCTCTTTTTATTCTCTTATCTCTTTAAATATTAAAATTCGTTTTTGATAGATTTTCTTTTTGACGCTTAGCACCCAGCATACCCTACTTAGATATAAGATAAAAAACTTTGTTTTTGTAAACTTCGCTCATTCATAAAGATAAGCCGAGTGAGTAATCAGAATCCAAGTGCTACCAGTGCTTTCCCTTCTTATATATATGTTTGGCAAATAAACAGATTCGAGCCCAAAATATGCAAACAATACATAGATAAGAGCAGCCCTTGCCCAATGCACGTTCGCTCAATGAACTCTATTTACCTATGTGTCGTAGTAGAATGAGATGAGAGATGCAGTAGATGAGATCATGTTTCAGCGCGGCTGAGAGTGAGAGCGGGAACTGAAATACATATATGAAATATATATATAATGATCAGCATGAGA